CTTTATGATGTATATATCAAGTTTACAGTTAAAAAGTGAAAAGAAGTATTTGTGCTAAGGGTTAGTTCTTGGGAGAGGCACGCGTTAGAGTCAACTCTTTAGGTTAGTTATGGTCCCTTCTTGCCAATCTTCTTCCTATCAATAGAACAGAGACGAGTAGATGGGATGTCTCTGAGAGAAAAGAGAGAACTTTGAGGAAGCCTGGAGGGCAGGAACTCTCATCAGCTCCAGGCAGACATAGGGTCATCTCTGGAGGTCCATGTATTTGGTTTTCAGTGTTACAGTTCATGTTTCTACCTCTTCTTGCCAGATCTTGAATTTCTTGCCTTTCCATTTTCTAGCTTAAACCAGAGTCACGTGTTGATTTTTATGCTGTGTTGACTGAGCAACAGGCTCTTAAAAAATATTGGGCTATCCGGGCTCGGTGGCTCAGCCTGTAATCCCGCGCCTTTGGGAGGCTGAGGTGAGTGGATTGCCTGAACCCGCGGGTTCGAGACCCGCCTGGGCAGCGAGACCTCATCTCTACAATAAATCAAAAACTCAGCCGGGCATGGTAGCGCATTCCTGTAATTCCGGCTACTTGAAAGGCTGAGGAGAAAGGATCGCCAGAGCCCAGCAGGTCGAGGTTGCGGTGGCCGGGAGCGGCCACTGCACTCCAGTCTGGGCGACAGAGTGAGACTCCAACTCAAAAAAATATATATATATTGGGCAAAAATAATTGTACATATACTTGAAAATTTGCTATAAGGGTAGATATTATGGTAAGTGCCCTTACCACAAAAGGAAAAACAAATTTTTTAAAAAGCAGGCAGGGACCTGGAGAAACTTTTAGAGATTATGGAAAAGTTTATGGCATTGATCATAATGATGACTTAATGAATGAATATTTATTTCCAGATACATCAAACTGTATACATTAAGTATGTGTAGCCTTTTTGTGTCAATTGTATCTCAATAAATTGGTATGTGAAAAAGAAATTGTGTCTGTTCTCTCAGGGACTTGCTATCTTGTCAGACAGACAGAAAACAGACTTTGGTACCATTTTTCAAAGCTTGAGAAATGGGGTGTTTCGGTAAGCAAATAATCTTATTCATACCAATGCAACATATGCACTTTATATGATTTTCCAAGAATTAAAAAACTATAAAATAAGCTTACTTCAGGATTATTACTGTAAGCATCAAGAACCCTGACTCTGACCCTATAAACTTAGAAGTTGGACCAGCTCCCTTCTTACCCCATTGCATGCTCTGATAGTTGTTTTTAAAATAAATCTCAGACATTTGTTTGTTTACTTTACCCAAGACTCATAAAATGAAAAAAAATTTAAAAGTCATAGGAGAGGACCTATGCTTATAAAGCCAAAAAATGTCACATTCAACTAATGGTCATCCCCTAACTACTTCTAACCAACTATATGGTAAATATTTTTAAAGAAAACTAAAAGACTGAGAAAAATCCAATAAAGGCATACACCTTCAAATATCTAACTTAAGAGGAGAACATTAATAATAAACTACTGTGCACATACTTTTTTAGCTCAACAAATCATCTGGGAGCTCCAATACATTGCTTTTCTATCACTGACCACAGTCTAACTCAGTCCTTAGGAACTAGCTCTGTCTCAAAACTCAGCTTACACTGAGAGGTGCATTTTTGCTGTTCCAGCAGCTCCACAGAAACAGAGAGGGAAGGAAACGAGGTATGGGGATCTTCTAATTTCCCATGGAGGTAATATAAGTCCATTAAAGAAAAAAGCTAGCCGGACTAGGTGGCTCAGCCTGTAATCCCGCGCCTGTTGGGAGTTTGAGGTGAGTGGATTGCCTGAGCCCGCGGGTTCGAGACCCGCCTGGGCAGCGTGACCTCATCTCTACAATAAATCAAAAATCAGCCGGGCGTAGTAGCACGCACCTGTAATTCCGGCTACTTGGAAGGCTGAGGCGGAAGGATCGCAGGAGCCCAGTGGGCTGAAGCTGCGGTGGCCGGGATCCCAGCCACTGCACTCCAGTCTGGGCGATGGAGTGAAACTCCAACTCAAAAAACAACAACAACAACAAAAAAAGCTGATCTCTGCTTCCAACAAATCTCTTTGAATGGTCTCTTTAATTTTCCCTTCTCTTTAATTTTCTCTAAGAACATATCTTGTCTACTATGTTGTTGGTTTGGATTTTGCTTCCATCCTCTCCTATTGGCCTTTGAAAACCATTGCCAAACTCAATGTCAACTGAAAGACAGAATCACTGGAAAGTATTAACATTGTCCAGATTTTAAAATGATTTTGAAAAGGGAATCCAGCAAAATTCCACAGGTTATAGATCTCTGAGCTTTCTCTTAGAAAATCATGTAGAAATAAACAATGTTATTGAAAGTTATATCACTTTCTAGATTAATTTGTGATATAGTCTTTGTACAGCAGTTAATATTTATTGAACTCTCAATAATAATATCTTATTGTAGATAATAATTAATGAAGTACCACCATATTAATTGCCCTATGCAGATTTGCTCTTATAATCATCATGACAACTTTATGGAGGTGGAATCTGTGATGATTCCTATCTTCCTGATGAGGAAATTAGGGTTTGGGGATGCCAAATGACTTTCCCAAGGTCATATTGACAGTGAGTGGTAAAACCAGGCCTAGAACGTAGGGTCATCTGTCTAGAACCTGAATTCTTAGTTTAAGTTCTTATCAGTTTCTTAACTTTTACTTGCTTTATTTTCAATATTTTTCTACAATATGCAGAGATAATTTTATAATTAGAAAAGAAAGCAAAAATTTTAAAACTATAAATTCTAAAATGCATAAGTTAATTGCCATCTGACATAATCACTCTTATCTTTAAGAAGCTTTCTTTTGCACTGACTTCTTTTACAGTATTATTTTGACAGGATTATCCAGTAGAATGGCATGGCCATGCATTCAGCTTTTAATTTCTTTTATAAAATTCTCTTTGAAATGCTAACTATTTCTAATCTCAGAAATGTACTCTAAACATTATAGCAGCTTTGTTCAAATAAAATAACAAAGATTTTTTATTTTTGGAAATCATATTATGTCTCAGGGACGGTGCTAGGTATAGACGTTATTCCTAATTATCACACAACTTTGGGAAGTAGATGTTACTGTGCCCATTTAATGGGTGAAGAGACATGTGTCAGAGAGGTTGAGTAATTTTCCCACAGACATACAGTTAAATGGTTGATCTGGAGTTAAAGCTCAGATTTATCAGAGCCAAAAGCACTGTTCACCATTTTATACTCACTTGCAAAAAGTTTCCAATCAATTATTTTCATAGCAAAGGAAAAAAAAAAAAGAAGAGAACAAAAATGTGATTACAAAATAGGATGAGGAACAGCTGCCACCAGCAAGGTAATCTCTCTGAAAGCCACTGCTTCAAAGTCTGTGTATCCAGTGACTTTTGATTCAAACAGAGCTCAGTCCCTCAGCCCTGCCCAGCTGCCTCCCACAGCCTGGCAAAGATGTGAGATGCTGGAAAAGTTTTTCAGCAACAAATAACACCTCAGACCCAGGAAAAATTTGTTTCCCACAAGTCTGAGATAAGATTAAAGAAAAGGGATAGCAAAGAAGGAAGACTGGTTTGGTTAATAACTGATTTCTCACTCTGGCTGAGTGTCCATACTTACTGTAGAGCTGTATGTGCAGGCCATGATGGAGCAGAAGGCCAGATCCTGGCCTAAGAGTCTGCAAAGATCTTAAACCCCCAGAATCTACACTCAGACAGTCATTGGCCCTGGCTCCACTGCACAGAGGAGGCCAGGTAGTTCTCAAAACCAGGCTCACAGTTCCATTCATTCTATCAAAACCAAATTAAACTCCAATTTAGCAAGTTCTTCTGCCGTGCATCTTTAATATCTCATAGATAATTGCTCAGTTTCTATTGCAGGAGCCATTCTGGCATTAAGTAGATAATGAGTAAAGTGAGATTCTCCTTTAGCAATCAACATAAAAAAGCAATACCAAACTAATGCCCATCAAATATTCTGGCTATGCCAATGCTTGTGAAATCTCCAAGAGCAACAAGTAAAGGGAGAAAAGAAGAGCCAAGGGACCAGCTGGGATGGGTTCAAAAGTCTGAAGTCACAGAAGACATCTCAATCACCCTGATTAGACATCAGAAAGTGTCTTGTCCATGCCTGCTCAGTCATAGTATGTGAGCTTTCTGGAGATTTATGCAAAAATTACTATCTATCATTTTTCTGTTCAAGGCTCCATAGTCTTAATCAGATTTTCAGAGGTCTGGAATGCCAAAAACAGTTAATAATTGCTACTCTAATCTGTGGCCATCTGGGAAAGACACAATCATTGTGTCCTGAACAAACCTCAAAAAATCTCTAATGACACAAGACTATTAAATTCATTGTCTACACAGTTCCATAGAAAAAGGAAGAGCTAGAAATTATCTGCTTGACTGGATCATGCAGCCGATCAATACAATTCACTAGGATCTCAAGGGAGATTGCTTTTTGTAAACATTTTCTACTCTACACAAAACAGCTGTGTGATGCAAATATAATCTAAATTACATCAGCTTCAACCAGAGCAATTTCTTTACAGGTAAATAACCATCTTAGGCTAGGTGTTAAAAAAGCCCCTCGGTAAAAAAAAAAAAAAATCCTGAAGATTAGATTTACATGAAATTAAATTAAAATTCTATTCTAATAACCAAGTCCAGGAGGGAAAATAACTTTCAGTAATCAAAAAATAGAACAATAAGATATTCGGTGACACTGCTTCTTTGGTAAAAAAGGTGACCTTGAAATGATGGTTTTAAAAAAAACTATGATGACTTCATTAAGAAAGCAAGGGAGATTTGTTGGGTTTCATAGAAGTTAAAAGGTTATTAGATTACATCCCTAGGTTTCTCTCTGACCTTAACTTTCGGTTCTACTGATTCCTACAAATAAACAATGGAATCAATCAAAACAGCAGTCTCAATTCATGATGAGAATAATCTACATGCCCTCATGAAATCACCTGGACAAGCTCCATCATGTCTTTGACAAACCCATCCACTTCTGGGCCTTCTAGGGCTCCCGTTTTACTCTGAAAGATAAAAGAGCCAATAATCCAAGTATCATTTTCTCAAGCTAAAAAGTTAAAAAATAAATTAGGCCAATAGATTATAACCGTATTCTTGTGTGACTGCAAACAGATTTAGCAATGGCATGTTCCAATTTATGTTCTCCATGCAGAACGTGAATATTCCACAAGAATTAAAATAACTCATTGGAACTAGCTCCATGTAACCAAAAGAGAAGAATTAGTTTTGAGTTCCTTAGCTCTTGTAAATAGCATCAACGTGGCATATATTGACTTTATTTGCTTCCCAGATACTGTTTCAGTTCATATAAGTGTCCATTGAACCATTGACCTTTTGAAGAATAGGTTGATGTTTTTAATTTTGCAATTTGGCAATGATGTGGTGATTATTAAAATATAGATTTTTAAATCAATGGAGATTACATCGAATAAACATATTAGAATTGTCATTTGGCCTGTACATAAGACCCTTTATTTTTTTCTACCCATTTTATAACCCATGTAAACACGAATGTCTACAAAATGCAATACATATTAAAATATTTCAGTTTGTCTCTAAAGCTCCATTTATTACAATTCACCCACTCTTCTCACATTTTCTTAATCCTAGATCTTTAACATATCATTTTTAAAGTTCCACTCCCTTATTGTATTTATCAAATTCCTAGACAAATACCTATATACAGGCACTCTTGTAAAAAGCTTTATAAAACTCAATTTATTTCATTGTCATAACAACCCCATGAGGTGGTGGTTTTATTATCCTTATCACCCCAATTTTACAAGTAAGAAAAACAAACAGGCAAGTTAAGAAATCTGTCCAAGGTTACATGGCTACTGAGCCTTGATTCAAACCTAGGTAATTGGTCACAGAGGTCATATGCTTAACCACCTCTATGCTTTGCTGCCCCTCCTAGGTGATGCTCTTTCTGCTCAGAATATGAAGCATAGGTATACCATCTGATTAGTTTCGGGGAGACATCTCTTATGACCCTTTCCAACTTTCTGCATCTCTTCCTTCTTGCATCAACCTATCACCCTACCATGTCCTTAGGTAATTCAATCTCTTTGCCATACTTTGTGTTTTAGAATTATCGCTTTCTCCCCTCTTTAAAAAAAAAAATCAAGTAATTGGTCCTACAAGAAAAACAGTTTTTATGCCAAATAAATACAACTTTGCCTCTACTTCTTTTGGTTGGATGTGGGGGAATTTTTTCATTTTTTTTGTTTTTGTTTTGCACGTACTATCATAAATAAGCTTTTAGCACCATGCAAAGGAGAATACTATTAGTTTGGATCCAACGAGCAAAAGCAAAAGAAAGCTATGATTTTATTTTTTTCTCAACCATAAATACTCCTTTGGCTATTTGTACCTTATTGTCAGAAGTTATATAGAGAAACTAAGAGCATCCTGATCTACCAATACATATGTGCATTTGCTATTCATCATGTAAGTTTAGGGTCTGTGGGTAGGATGGCCCCACATAAGAGCTACCTACCCAAAGATGCCCAGCACAATTTAAAGAGGCACACTTACAACATCATAGTGGGCAAAGATTTTCTCAAAGTCCCTCTTCCTTTCTTCAGTAGAACAAGCCTGCATATGGAAAAATATAATGTCAATCCAGCAATGTGAAACCTCAGTTGGACAGTTTTCCCAGGGTTTAGGCAACATTTATAAACTTTGAGTCAACGACACTTAAGATTCCTTGATTCCACTCTGAGCCTTGTCAGTCTCTAAATAAGTTAAAAGGTAGAACAAATAGATGCCTTCCTTTCTTCTCTCCTTCTCAAACCCATAGAGCAACAGGAATAGCATAAACCCATCTAGAGAAACGTTACTACTTACATCTATTTTAAATTGAAGAAGGAAGTTCTCCTGAAGAGCCAGAATCCTAAAAAGAAAAAAAGAAATCCACATAATGATCTATTAGCTCTCAGTTATAAGCAAATTCATAGCTATGGTGCGTGAAAAGAAGAGGCAATTTTCAGATTATTCTGCAGAACAGAATAGGTGCTTGAAATAGAGGAATTCCTACATTGCAAACACAAATAAAAAATGAATTGGAAAAATTCATAAGGATTAGTAGTAACCATATAGAGACTTTAAAATTTTATCTTATCAGAAAATGGCAGAAAATTCACTCCACCATAAAAGCAATAAAAAAAAAAAAACTGGAAAAACCAGAATAACCTTTTCAGAACTCTGAAATACTGTTAAATTTGGGGAGTGTTTATTCTGAAAATTAGCTGAATCTTGGCAAGAACAATGAAATATCATGGCAGTTAACTTGCCCCAACACATATTCAGAGCCCAATAGCAAAGACTGGGAGACTTATTGGTCCTAGGAATTTAAGAAAATTCATAGGCCGGCCATGGTGACTCCTGCTATAATTCCAGCACTTTGGAAGGCTGAGGTGAGAGGATTGCCTAAGACCACGGTTTCGAGGCCAGCCTGGGCAACTTGGCAAGACCTCATCTCTACAATAAATCAAGAAAAATTAGCCGGGCATGGTGGCACATGCCTGTAGTTCCAGCTACTTGGAAGGCTGAGGCGGAAGGATAACCTGAGCCCAGCAGGTCGAGGCTACTGTGGCCATGAGCATGCCATTGCCCTCCAGCCTGGGAGACAGAGTGAGATGCCGACTCAAAAAAAATTCCAGTCCTATTATGAATTGACCATTGAACTAACGGAGCAGAGGCTTCAGTGGATATACCTGCCAAAGAACACAGACTTTACAGAATTCGTTCAGAAAAGTCACTAAACAAATAAACAATAAAAACCATCATCAACAACAAACATGTTCCATAAGAAATACTAAAGGAAGCCTTTCAGGCTGAAATGAAAGGACACTAGACAGTAACTTAAAACCACATGAAAAAATAAAGAGCACCAGTAGAGGTAACTATATAAGCAAATCAAAAAGACAGCATAAATGTATTTTGTTTGTAACTATTTTTGCTATCTGATTTAAAACACAACTTCATAAAACAATACTTAAAATTATGTATTGTTGGGCACATTGTAATTTTAACAACACAAGGAAGGAAGGAAGGATTTGAAATGTACAGAAGTAAAGTTTTGGTGTAATATTGAAATTCGGTTTCTATTAATACAAAATTAAATTTGTTCCAAATTAAGATGGAACCACTAACAAAAAACTCAAAAAAAACAGTAAAAGAAAGAATAAGGGAATTAATATAGTATGCTTGAAAATATCTATTTAACATGAAGGAGGCAGTAATGGAGGAATAGAGGAACAAAAAAGACATAAGACAGAGAAAACAAATAGCAAAATGGCAAACATAAGTTCTATTTTATCAGAATTTACATTAAGTGTACATAGATTAAGCATTCCATTAAAAGCAGAGATTAGCAGAATGAAAAGAAGGAAGTGAAACTACTAAATGATACTATCTTATATATAGAAAATTCTAGCGAATTCAACAAAAAAAACTGCTAAAGCTAATAAGTCCTGCAAGGTTAGGATACAAGATCAGTATACAAAATTAAATTGTATTTCCATACACTAGCGATGACTAACCCCCAAAATAGCTGAAATTATCATTCCCTTTATAATGGCACTAAAAAGAATAAAGTACTTGGTAAATTAAACAAAAGAGGTGTGACTTGTAGACTGAAAACTATAAAATATTGAAATAAATTAAAGAAGATCTAAGAAATGGAAAGGCATCTGATGTTCATACACTGAAAGACTTAATGACGTTCAGATGATAATACTCTCCAAACTGATCTACAGATTCAAAACAATCCTCATCAGAATCTAAGTTGGCTTTTTTTTCTTTGCAGAAATTGACAATCTGATCCTAACATTCATGTGGACATGCCCATGGCCCAGAATAACCAAAACAATCTTGAAAAAGAACAAAGTTGGAGGACTCACATTTTTTATTTCAAAACTTGCTGACAAATCTACAGACTCAAGACTGGCATAAGACCAGACATGTAAATGAATGGAATAGAATTGAGAATGCAGAAATAAACTCACAAATTACGGATTTTGGCAAGGGTGCCAAGACCATTCAGTAAGTAAGAAATAGTCTTTTCAAGAAATGGTGTTGGAACGAGTAGATATCCCACACTAAAGGATGAAATTAGACTCCCACCTTATGTCATATTTAAAAAATTAATATGAAATGGACCAAAGACCAATATAGAAAACAGAAACTGTAAAACTCATAGACAGAAATATAGGGATAAATCTTCATGAGCTTGGGTTTTGGCAATGGCTTCCTAGATACAACAACTAAAACACAAATAACCAAAAGAATCAGATCAATTAGACTTCATACATATCTTAAACTTTTGAGCTTCAGAGGAAAATGAAAACACAACTCACAGAAAGGAAAAAAAAAGTTTTTCTTATATAAGCAAAAAATCTGATAAGTGTCTAGGACTTCCAACTCAACAATAAAAAGACAAATAACCTAATTTTTTCAAATAGGGAAAGGATCTAAATGGACATTTCTCCAAAGAAGATATACAAATAACCAGTTAACACATAAAAATGTCCTCAAAATAATTAGTCATTAGGGCAACACAAATCAAAACCACAAAGAAATACCATTTTACACCCAATAGGATTATTACAATACAAAGGATGCAAACAATAATACATGCTGATTAGAAAGTGAAACTCTCATACATTGTTGATGAAAATATAAAATGATATAGCCACTTTGAAAAATAGTTTCACAGATCCTTGGAAAATTAAACATAGAATTATCATAGGACTCAAAAATCTACTCTTACATATATAGCCAAGAGTATCAAAAACATATTCACACAAAAACTTGTACAAAGTTTTTCAGTGGTACATCCTAATATCTAAAAAGTGAAAACAACCCAAATGTATATAAACTGATGAATGGAAAAAATATCATACATACATACAATGGAATATGTTTCAGACACAAAAAAGAATGACATTCTGTTACAATGTGGATGAATCTTGAAAAAACGTATGCTAAGTAAAATAACTAGACACAAAAGGCACATACTATACGATTCCATTTATGTGAAATGCTCAGAATAGGTGAACCAACAGAGACAGAAAGTTGATTAGTGGTTGCCAGGGCTAGTGGGAGAATGGAGAGGGAAGTGACTGCTAATGGGTACTGGCTGTGCTTCTGGCATAATGAAATGTTCTGGACTCAGACAGTGGTAATTATTACACAACCTTATGAATACACTAAAGTGTACTCTTCAAAAGGGTACATTTTATGGTATGTAAATTATCTCAATTTTTGAAGTCACCTTGTTTTGTTTTAGAAAGCAAATATATTTCTGGTTCTTTTCTGTATGGTCATAATTACACTTTAATGGAATACAATTGTTTTCAACAGACTAAAGTATTAGATTCATGGTTGTATTCATAATCATGGTTACAGAGAGAGAAAAGTAGAAAAAATATAATACAACTATATGTTTTGAAAAATGTTGCTCCTCTGAATGCCCAGGGTAGAGAGAATTAATTTGAGCCAATTAGAAGATAGAATATCCTGAGAGTCTGCAAGGAATGCTGTTCTTCCTATCTGTTGACACCAGGTAGTCTAAATCCCGTGTTGCCAGTCAGAGGACATACACTTGGGAGATGCTTTTATGTGGAGCAATAGGGCTGCATTTCAGAGCTGGAAAGTAGTACTAAGGGAAAATTCCTACATGTAAATGTTTTAAGACCTTTTTGTTGTATCAGTTTCCCACTGTTGTTGTGACAAATGGCCATAACTAGTGACTTAAAACAACTGTAATAATTCACAGCACTGGAAGTCGACATCTACAACAGATCTCACTGGGCAGAAGTCAAGGTGTGGACAGGACAGCATTCCTTCTGAAGGCTCCAGGGACACATCACTTCCCATGCTTTTTTCAGCTTCTAGAGACTGCCTACATTCTTCACATATGGCCCCTTCTTTCACTTCTAAGCCAGCAACATCGCATTTTCAAATCTCTCTGTGACTCTGACCTTCTGTCTCCCTCTTCCATATTACTTTAGGCCCACCCAGATTTTTTTTTTTTTTTTTTTGAGTTGGAGTCTCACTCTGTCACCCAGGCTGGAATGCAGTGGCACACTCACGGCTACTGCAGCCTTGACCTGCTGGGCTCAGGTGATCCTTCTGTCTCAGCCTTCCAAGTAGCTGGAACTACAGGCGCACACCACCACACCCAGCTAATTTTTTTGATTTATTGTAGAGACGAGATCTCACCAAGTATCCCAGGCTGGTCTCAAACCCCTGGATTCAGACAATCCTCTCACCTCTGCCTCCCAAAGTGCTGGGATTACAGGTGTGAGCCACGATACCCGGCTTTAGATATTTTAGGATCTATTGACTAGCAACCTTAATTCTATCTGCAACTTTAATTCATCCTTACCGTGTAACATAAAATTAGGTTCTGGGTATTAGGATGTGGACGTTTTTACTCTACCTACCATAGTTGTCATTTTCAAATTCCATTTCAAATAAACTCAGCCCTCTGTATCTGGGGGTCTTCAAGGGTCAACTGAGAGACTAGAGAATCTGAGGATTTGGGTATCCAAAGGGGTTCTGGAACCAGGATACCAAGGAACAACACAATGAACTAACTTCTTGCTCATTTGAATCTCTGTTCAGCGCTAACTGAACTCCTTCAACCCACAACTTCTCATTGAATCCTCCTATGTACATAGCACTCCACCAGGTGAGAAGTTATTCAAGAGATTAAAGCAGGCTGGGCTCAGTGTCTCAGCCTATAATCCCTGCACTTTGGGAGGCTGAGACGAGTGGACTGCTTGAGCCCACGGGTTTGAGAGCAGCCCAGGCAACTTGGCAAGACCTCATCTCTACAATAAATAAAAAATTAGGTGAGTGTGGTGGCGCGTGCCTGTAGTTCTGGCTACTTGTAAGTCTGAGGTGGAAGGATCGCCAGAGTCCAGTGGATCAACGCTGGGGTGGCTATGAGCATGCCACTGCACTCCAACCTGGGGGACAGAGTGAGACTCCAACTCTCAAAAAAAAAAAAGAGAGAGAGGATAAGCATAGTCCCTACCCTGTAGATAGGACCACAGCAATATTGCCTCTACAGGGGGTTTGAATGTGTGAAGAGGGGTTTTAGTAATCACAGTGATAGAGGAACACAACTGGCCTTTTGTACATAGGACCAAGGACCAGAATATTAGATGCCTTACATCGCGTGGAAATTTCTACAGAATGAAGAATTGTCCCATGTCTCACTTGACTTCCAAATGTCCACTGGGGCAATCATGAATGTAAAACACTGTTTATAATTATTTGATCCTGGAACTGAATTCTTATCTACATAAAAAACCGCAATATTTTTGCAAGGTATACATAATTTACCACTTAGAAAAATTTCCCATATGGTATATGGAATTGTGTTAATTAGGGGATGAATGTACTTTTGGAACTCTATCAATACTTATGTATTATTAATATTTCATAAAGTTCATCAATAGCATCTGACCTCCTGTACATAGGTTACCAAAAGGTCACACTTGTATCAGTCAGTATCTGAGCTGCCCTGCTTATGGTGATTCTACACAGATAACAAGCATCTGATCATTTTATTATGTCTTCACTATGGTTGTATCCAAGGACTTATACACTGAAATATACATTCCTTTATTTCTTTCTTTTTTTTTTTTTTTGAGTTGGAGTCTCACTCTGTCGCCCAGACTGGAGCGCAGTGGCCGCTCCCGGCCACCGCAGCCTCGACCTGCTGGGCTCCGGCGATCCTTCCGCCTCAGCCTTCCGAGTAGCTGGAACTACAGGCGCGCACTACTTCGCCCGGCTGATTTTTTGATTTATTGTAGAGATGAGGTCTCACTGCCCAGGCGGGTCTCAAACCCGAGGGCTCAGGCAATCCACTCACCTCAGCCTCCCAAAGGCGCGGGATTACAGGCTGAGCCACCGAGCCCGGCTCCTTTATTTCTAACTGCTTTGTTTGTATTTCTCCTTTATATGTTGTAGTCCGTGCATTATGTTAGCTATTTTAATATTATGTACATAGGTTGGCCACATTGTCTGTGGACTTTATTTCAGTAGTAAATAAGAGTATTGGGACTGAGAAGGCACAGAGCAACAGCTCTGGGCCCTTTACTGATACACACACTCTAACCTCCAAGAATGCCCAAGGTTCCTTAATTCTCATTACCTCTGAGATGTGCACAGTTGAGTCAGGGTACCAGGTAGATGACTGTGTTTGATGCAGAAAGCCATTAGATTGCAAACTCTTTTATTCACCTAGATTTCCATCTTTTGAATGTATCTTTTGGACGATTTTTTCTTCCCCGAATTGGCTCTCTTGCACAGCTCTCTGATATCTACATGAAAGGAACCCTGCCACGACTGGCCAAGAGATCCAGGTGGGATCCAGGGAGCAGAGACAAGATTAGGGGCCAAGATCTCTTCTTCCCTAGGCCTATAGGAGAAACATTTTTGTCCCTCCTTGGTTAGTCTCTCAATGGTTCTTCTTTATTCAAGTGGCAAAAATTAGGACAAAGGTCTGGGGAAAGTAGCCAGTTAGGCAAAAATAGAAGACCATCTAGTGTTTTGGGGTCAATGTCCTACTTATTACTGAGGAGAGATTCTTCCTTTCACAGATATCCTTCAAAATCTGGCAGAAGTAGCTTCCAAGAAAGGAGATGGTGCAGAATTTGCTGATTCTGGACTCAGGTTAGTATCCACTAAGAGACAAAACTAGCACCTTCTTATGACTATCTGCACTCAATTCTTGGATGTCCTCTCTCCTAGCTATACCTGCTACTGCCCTTCAGCCTTTAACTGCAGCTTAGTTTACAACTGTCATCCAGCCTGACCTTCAGGCACCCAGTATTGTAATTGCTCCCCCATAAATGTTATAACTATGTATTCTGGATCCCATTATTGCAACTCTGACCATCTGCTCAGAATCTCTTTTTCCTTTTTTTGTAAACAACCACATGTTGTTTTAGGTCTGCTGGCCTTGACAAAATATGCTGACACACCAATCCCATGTCACAATACCAGACTCACAGACAACATTTGTGCAGACACTGTACTTCTGCTCTTATCCTGTCCTCCTCCATTTCTAGCCTCTAGGCACTTGGTGCCTCTCTGAGAATACACCAACACACAAAAACCATAGTGCCGCTAAAGTCTGGTTCAGTTGTCCTGTGTCCTGAACTAACTGCTCAACATTCTCAAAGGCAATGAATGGGATTCGGGACTTTTTTTTGTTACAAGATCCTAATGTGGGTCGATGAATGTCTGACTTTGAGAGCAGAGTCTGCCCATGACCCATCCATAAGATTTTATAAAAATGTGGTGTATTATGCTTTTCAAGAGCTTTTATTATCACAAAGGGGTTTTTTATTCCCAAAAGATTCAGAACCAGTGTAGTTTATTTGGTAAGATGTGCCTATTCTTTTGATCTCCAGGTGAGACCTGATCTCCAGTTTCAAAAGAAAGTACAGAATGTCATCAAACCTTTAAAAGGCATTTCTGAATCTCTAACATCATTTCGATGTAACTCACCTTGCCAAATCATTGAGATCCAACCGACCATCTTTGTTTTTGTCAAAGATCCTCATCTGAAACACAGATGGGAAAATGATTATAAGAAATACTTGTATCAGGAATTCATTTTTGAGTTATTAAGGCACTTGTGTATTTTGTCCTTCTGATTACATATTTGCCTAAATTGGCTGAGCAACCATCTGCCTGAAGGAAAATTAGTATTTGCTACAGAAGAAACTGCATGCCAGCTTCTGTGTTGGGATGAGAAATAATAACTGGATCTCATAAATCTCAGCAGCTTAACACAACACAGGTTTATTTCTTGCTCATGTTATATGAGAATCAAGGGTTAGCTGGGAACTCTACTCCATGTTGTCTACACTCCAGGACACAGAGTGAAAAGGCAACTATCATCCAGCAACATTCCTAATTGCCATGGCAGAAAAAGAGAATGGCAAATCAATGACTGATTCAAATTTCATTATCCAAAGCAAGTCCCTGGCACACCTAATTTCAAAGGGACAGAGCAGTACACCTGGGAGGAAAAGTGTAATTATTGGGTGCAGAGCAGTAAAACTACCACAGTTTCTGACAAGCAAAACATAATTTCTATAATGATTATAAGCTTGAAATTTGGGTACTCGCTTTGAGTCACAGCATTCTGAAATTGTTTAATAACCCATATATAGCATATCAATAGCAAAGCATGGAGGGCTATTGTCACACAGTACTCCCTATAGAGTATAGAAGAAATCTCATTTTTCCATGAAAACAAAAGGAGTTGAGACTGAGACTTTCTTTTTAATTTTTTCTTTTCTTTTCTTTATAACCCGTTGTACCTTAGAAGAGCCTTTTCTTTCATAGAAAGATATAGTATTGTCCAAAGCCGCTTTTTACAGTATTAGATCAGACTAAGCTTTAAGCAAGATAGAAATAAAAGTTAAAAATTTTCTGCATTAACCACAAATTGGGAAGACCAGATTGGTTTAGGCAAGATAGAGGAGATGCATTTATTTGCTCATCTGAGTTGAAATGTGAGTGATTTTTGTCACTTCACATTTTAATGCAGCAGAATATCTCTAAACATATCTGTATCAGGAGGCTGCACAGGGAATGAGAAGCAGTGAGATAATCTGGAAATAGATCCAACAGATTTTTGCATCAAAAATACATTAGTCCCCCATTCTTCCTCCCTCTCCAAATACAGTTTATTTTTAATATTTAAAATGAATGTGAAAGCCCATTTTGCCCTAACTTCAGCACCAAAAATGTATATTCCAGAATACATTAAAACACAGATTATATTTTTATACATCTGGACATATTACAAGTTCAATCATGTTCCTTAAACATAAATACTGTACAGTATTCAGAAAAAGTCTGGTAGCTAGAAGACTTTGCTGGAAGATGAACCATGGGTTATTTACTGTTACACCAGCAATACAAGAGATACTATCTTGAGAGGAAGCTAGATTAGCTTGAGCTTTAAGCAAGCAATAACTCATCTTGAAGGACAGGGACCCGATTCCCGTACTATGAAAGCTTACTCAAAAGGGAAAATGTCCTTTGCTCGAAATTGGCTTGGGGAAGAACTAAACACCAATGTGGTAAATTGTACTTCTACCCATCAGAAAATTGGCTATGCAGTTCACTTAACAATAAGAATCATAAAAAAACATAAAAACATCATTTGCTTAATCTTCCCATCACTGTGTGTGTACACGTGAAGTTGAATAGTACACATGCTCCCCTGAACCAGCTCTTCTATTTTCTTAGAGGCTCTGTAACTAGAAGTTAAAATATTCATAATGACGGAGGCTTGGAAGATGCTTGTTGCACAAAACTAGTAATCAGACCTGTGTGACATTAGGATATTATACTTCTTTGCAAAAGTATAACCTTTGGTGAATTTTGAATGTTTGGCATATTTGTTTTGGACATGATAACTCTCAATTTTTTTAACTATAACAATGATCACTTGTGAGGGCTCAATACTTTATGTGTTATATCGTGCTATCATTACAACACTCTTATTAGGTAAGGATGTTACAAATGAGGAAACTGAAATTCAGAAAGATTAAAGTAGGTTGTCTAAGAAGCAGGATTTTAATGTAAGCACATCTGTCTCCAGAGTTCTTTCCATAAAACCAAGCTCTTAGCTTTATGAAGTCTGGGTAGCTCATCATGAATTTGGTTTGCTTCATGTTTGGTTTGGAAGTAAAATATTTGGTACTATAGATTATGCCAGAGATGTGATATTTACCTTTTCTAGTTGTCTCTCTTTCCCTAACAAAGTAATGAAAAGACTATGTGGATTGCCCTCCAACTCCGTGGTCTGAATTTCTCTAGAGAAATGGAAGCTTCATGATAATAAGTCAACTCTAAGACTGTCAGTTTTCACTTCACTGGGTTCATGCTCACAAAGTGCTTTTCAGTACATTTTCCCTACTCTTAAATATAAAGCAAGAAATATAGGTCTAGCACGCCATTCAACTGCTCCTGGCAATGGGTTGGGCACAGCTTGATAGTGATAGCCGCAAGCCCTGCTATCATACATCTCTGTCGACCTCCTGGGTCCCCAAGAATTCACACCTTGATGCTGCATGGGGGCTGCCTGTGCCTAGACTAGGATGATAGAGAAGTATTCCTGAGCCAAAACGCACTCCTGAGTTCCTGGAACCAAGTGTTCATTGCCTTGTGGCAGCAATACCTGAATCCTTACAGCAAACATGATCTGACTGAAGACATAGTATACGGGGAGGTGACCTTTGCCCAGAAGCCCCTGTCCCAGGACCAAAACCAACTGGATATCCCACTGAGCTGATTAACTACTTCCTATCAATGATGCTAATTGGGTATACATTCTGGAGTTCTGCACTGTGGACTCACAGGTTCAGGCAGAGACCACCTCCACCAGAAATATCAACCAGCCTGGCTAATAGTGGAAGAGGAATGGTGTGTTTATTATATGAGCTCTGAGAACAGCACTAGAGTGAAATCCTCAAGGAAACCTGGGTCTCCTCTAATTTACTTGATATCTCCAGGGCTATCCAACCTTTGCTCTTGCTCATTTCAAAAGCAGCAAGACCAAGTCTATGAAGGGTTTGAATACATCTTAGCCAAGTTGCAAGATGAAATGCCTTCCAAAACACTTGTTGAGATAGCCTAGAAGTCAAGAAGGCAAAGGAGCCAGCACTAACAGCTACAGAGAAGGCCACGGACTCAGCCAACAAGGTAGCCACCAAGAAGAAGCAACAACAGTTTGTATAGCCATCCTAAACACTGGTGTGACCTGGCCCTGCCTACCAGCACCACAGCACACCAGACAACCTAGTTCAAATCCCTCTGCCCTCTCCCAGTTTACTTTATTATTAAAAATCAACTTCTAGCCCTACCTACTGTCTGGGCGGTAGGTTGAGATGGGTATCCTGTCTGGCATCTATAGTGCACCAGGCAATTTACCCACATGTGAGCCAAGCCTGCTTATTCCCCCATTGGGCAGCTGAGGACAGAGAAACAGAGAGGTGCAGTGACTTGCCCAGGGTCATAGACAGGATGTAGGAAAAGTAATTAATGCTAAACTGTAAGCTCCATAAGGGCAGGATTTTTGTTTTCTTCTGTGATCTGCTCCGAGTCTCTGGGACATATCTAGCACACAATAGACTTTCTGTAAATACTTGTTGATTTAAAAAAAAAAAAAAACAAGAAATATAGGACTGGATTTCTTCCTCTATCTTTATACTAATTCACTCCAGGAGGGTTGTGGCAGTCGAAGGTGGCAGCAGTGGGGCCATGCCCTCCATTCTGAAGGACAGTTGCTGAAAGGCTGTGAAGAGCCCCTAACCACTATTCTCACCTGAACCACTGCTTTTCCAAGACTTGAGCTTATGCTTTGTGCACACATTTTTTTAGTACTAACTATATGAAAGGTACTATGAAGGCTCCCAGAAATGGAGTACAATGTCTTATTAACAAATTCTTTGGCCGGGCATGGTGGCTTGTACCTGAAACCTCAGTACTTTCGGGAGGCCAGTGCAGGAGGATTGCATAAGCCCAGGAGTTTGAGACCAGCCTAGGCAATATAGAAAGGCCTCATTGCTACAGGAATAAATAAATTAGCAGGGCATGATGGATGGTGCCACTGCACTCCAGCCTGGGGGACAGACTGGAGACTCTGACTGGGAAATAAAAAAGAAAAGAAAAAAAAGACTTAGCAAAATTTCTGGAAAATTCTTTAAAAAAAAAATCCTTACAATTCTGTAGGTGGTGGTTCTCTGCCAAAAGACTCCTCAGGAAACTTTCGAGTTACTCAAAATTCTCCTTAACTTGAATAATCTTTTAGCATTTCAAGTCTTTGCAGATGTGATAATGATTATAAAATTTAAATTCACTTAAAATCATTACTGGGTAACTTATGGTCAGCAGATATTTTCTCAAATAATAGCTTCAAAGTACAACTACTGTCATGTGGTGGGAGGAGATGTCTATAAATTGTTTACACAATTGTTAATTGATAATTTGAGTGTGATCCATTCTCAGGGCAAAAAATATCCAAATGGTTCATCAGAAGAAGAATATAAGTCCCTGTGTTCTAGAAACAACTACCATTTACAGAGTCCTATACATCTTTCCAGAGACTTTTCAAGCATACCATTTTTTGAACAAATAGTACCATATGATATATACTATTTTGCAACTTGATTTTTTTATTTAAGAAATTATGAAAACTCTTTCTAACTTTTTTTTTTTTTTTTGAGTTAGAGTCTCACTCCTTCGCCCAGATAGGAGTGCAGTGACATGCGTGCTCACAGTCACTCCAGCATCGACCTTCTGGGCTCCAGTGAGTCTTCCGCCTTGGCCTTTGGAGTTGCCTGGATGCGCGCTACCATGCTCAGCTATTTTTTATTTTATTGTAGAAACGAGGTCTCACCAAGTTGCCAAGGCTGGTCTGGAACCAGCAGGCTCCGGCAATCCACTCACCTCGGCCTCCCAAAGTGCTGGGATTACAGGCTGAGTCACCGAGCCCAGTCTAATTTTTTTAAACTTAAAAAGAGATCCTCTGGTTGTGTATCTT